CTGACTTGATGATGTACCAGAAAAAAAAACATTTGGATTGCTGAGTTGGACTAGTAGAGCACGGTTCAACTGTAAAAAAAAATAACTTGCTAAATTCAACTTCGCCTGGTCTCCTTCAATTTTATGCTAACTGACATCAGTCAAAAAACAAAATTTGCTATGTTTTTGTGGGATGTGCAAAAGAGCATCAGTTTCCTCTTTGAAGCCTTTTCGTGTGCTACGAAAAGGCACTCATCAGCGTTAAGTGCTGCGCTACGAGCTTTTGTTGATGGTAGGATTGATGCGGACAATAATCTAATTGTTTTGCAAAGTGGATATGAATTGCTCGACGGCCATAAAGTTTTTTTCCATCGCAATCTTTATGTCAATCAAGTAGAAGGTCAGATGTGGCGATTCCACGCTGCACATGATTTTCAGGGTTGCCACGAAGTGACATTTCAAAAACTAGAATAAACAGAAGCAAGCGCTAAAGCATTTACTTTTCGTAAAAACAAACACATCAGCAGTTTTTCAATGGCTTACGAAATTTTCAGTTTCATTTTTCACTTTCTATGGTGATGAAATATGCGAAGACTGTAGCTGCAGCTCCGGTTAAATAAGTACTATTCAGAATAACGATTTATCTAAGAAACCCCAGAGGCGTCAGAAAGGGACATTAGAGCTGCTGGTGCTAAAACGCTTATAAAATAAATAATGCTTAAAGTATTTCAGACACGCAAACGTTTCGGCAACGTATCGAGGTAAAAGCGGCGTGGGATAATATTCGCGCTGCATGGGCTAGCAATGATACTGTACTTCAGTAGCTGTGCACATGCCGCTTCGTTTTTTTCTAATATTTTGTAACTAACATCACTTTCTGGTGTTTCCAGTGGGAATAAAACGATTCGGTGTTATTACGTTTTGTACCATTCCATCAGATGTCCACAAAACTGGGCACTTTTTTAAAAAGTAAATGTCTACATGGGCAACCAACTGTGAAGTTGTGAACGTACCATGCAGGCCTTACGCGACTTACGTGGACACCGAGCTACGTACCAGATGGAGATTTGAGGTCAAGTATTGACGAAGCGATATAGTGAGCGATCCTCATGTGAATTTTTACGCGAGCATACTTAGCTAATTCATTTGAACAGGACTTGCGTGGTTCTCGGGAGGCCCGCTTTTACAGAGCTCATGCGAGATCCATTAACGTAAGTCGCGCAATGTTCCTTTTTGTAAACGACGCAGAGCTTGAGAAAAAGTGATCAACTTGGTGACTCCGAAGATACGGCTACGAACACTTTTTGATCTTTGGCTAATAGTTGGGAATCTACAGTTCAGAACAATTCTAGTGCAGTCCGTTCTATAGTTTTTCTAGTGAATAATTAGTTAACCAAGTTTCCAACTTTCGCCTCTTTACATACGCGAAATGCAACTATAGTACAATGAAAAGTGTTGTAAGAGGTGTTCTCGAAAACCTTAATTACTCTCTTCCCCATTTCGTGGTTGTTTTGAACAAGTGTTGCGTTAACTAGTGGTCTTCCGTCTGCAAACTACCTGTGTTAAGAATCAAAAAACCAATCTGAAATGGAATACGAATTGTTGCAAGTGCCTACAGAAAGATCAGAAGTTGTTTTGCAGTTTGCCGTTTCGCTTGTGGTTGCGTAGAATATATATGCACAGAAAAATATTCGTCCGCTCTCTCCTCCCATATTTTTTTGCCGAAAATCATAAACAATCGAACTTCGCCTCTAATCTCCCATAAGATTTCGTAAGCAGGCGAAAAAGGGCTTTTCAAATAGATTGTAGGCGAAAAAAATCTCGTAACCCAATATTTAGTTAACTCCCGTGTCTTAAACAGCCAAAATCTCTTTCGTATTCACTCACTGTGAAAAGCAAAAGCATTCAGAAGTGGTCCGAGGGGTAACAAGGCCAACGCCAACAGCATCGCGAGCAAGGTTGACGATAAATTTCGAGGGTTGCTCAGAAGCACGCTGATGATGGAAAATTCAGAAATGCTTGTCATCGCAGCATTCCTGCACAAACTGGTCATCTCCCTAGAGCTACAGTTAAAACCGCTCAAAATTGTAAGTACCGCCACGAAAACCTGATTTTAGTAAAAAATTTGTGCAAGCCTTGGCCTGCCACGCTTACCATATAAATACAGACTTACTGAAACTAATTCCAGCTTTTTGTTACGCGGCTATACATGGAGATGGCCCGACTGGTACTGCCTTACGGGAAGGAATGCGATAGTTTTCAATTTTCCCGCCACATAATTTTTTTGCAAAAACATTTACTAACAAGCCCCAGTTTTAGTTAGTTATTCGAATAGCAATTCTCGGACGACCGAAAACCATCGAATTCCTGTTGCACTTCCGCAATGCATACTCGCCACCCAGATTATGCATATCACCGCTTGTACATGGTTTTAAAGGGGATCAGGACCTCTCTTTGTGCATTGAGAGCAATCCACCAAATGCAGTTTTGCCTGTTCTCGCAATTCTGCCACGCTACTGTACAATACTTTTTTTAGAAACGATATTAGGTTCTCTCCTGAGAATTCCTGACAGTCTTCCTAGTGTTTCTATTCCCTCTGTTTATGGACCTCGCCCATGTACGAACATGAAATTGACAGTGCGACTTGCGTAACTAAATCTACTATCAACTTTCAGACATAATTAAATGCAATAACAGTTATGATTTGGACGTTTCTCCTTTTTGCATTTGTTTGCGTATCAGATGGAAACAATTTGGTAAGCGTTTGTTGTGGAAACTCTTAGTCGCTAATGTATTATGCTTCCTCGAAGTCCAAGACTGGCAACATTCGAGACATTGCTCTACAGACATCTCAAAACGACTCTAAGAATACTTTTGTGGGGGAAGCTATCGAAACGGTTCTGAAGATGAATCGGACGCGTCAGAATCATCAGCAGACTGACCACCGAATAATGCAGCATTGACCAAAGCAACTGGAAACCTGCCAGATACACTGCTGTGAGCAGCAGTGAATAGTTATGGGCCGCACTAAAAAATGTTGAAATCAGCATCAAGCGGGTCTCTAATAACAATAAATCATAATATATGAGAAAGGTAGACCGAACTTTAAATTTTTTTTTGTTGCAATAAACTATATCTGATGAAAGGGGTACTTACGCTGTTAGAAAATATCAGCCGATGCCTTGTAAGCTGCAACAAAAAATTTTGTTTTCAGAGTACCACGAATAGCGTGCGAAGCAATCCGGAACCAACGTTCGCAACATACAGTCAATGGAACGTTCCAAATAGCCACTATGCTCAATCGGAAAATCCTATCGGCTATACGTATTTTGGGAATCCGTTACAAACAAGTGCTACCAGACAAGCTAGTTTCGTCTCTCAGAATCCTACAGATTATCAAGCATCACGTCCAGCTCTGTGGCCACTTAACAATCCTGTGCCATATCCATTTGCACTGCAGAACTACGTGACCAATTATCTTCCAGAATCTTGCCATCCACAACCCATTCAAGACTGTGCAAAAAGTGAAGTAAGCAACGCTTATCCAAAAAAATCAAATGTCCTGCAGCTTCCTGAACAGGATCCACGTGTTCACAGCTCTGTTCCTGACATTCCCGCGCAGTCAGACAATTTATTGAGGGCGACGCTGCAAAGGCCATTGGAAGCTCAGTCATCACAATCACAGGTGCAAGGAAATTTGCTTGATTCAACAGCACCCGTCGC